CTGGGTCGCTGCCGGAGGACCTGGGACTCCGGGCCGTAAACGTTTGACAAACGGCTCATTTCGGCGGAATCGCGCGCGTCCACCGGACGCCGGGAAGACCGGCGACACTCCCCTGCGGGCGCTCGGAGGCGAAGGCCCGCCCACAACTGCGTGCACGTCTGTGACCGCAGTTTTAATTAGGGTTGTAGTTGAAGAGTTTGTAAATTGGGTTGCCTGGCAACGCAATCGCACAACGTCACGTCCGTTAATTCCACATCCTCACCTCCACACACATGGATTAACATCGATTTAATACATTAATGTAGCCTTTGTTTCTGCTAAAAGAGGTGTCGACCAGCTAGGGCAACAAGAAAATCGGCGAAATCAAGTGTGATGATTAAAAAATAAATTAAAAACATCTCATTTTGACAATAAAAACCGACCAATAGGCGCGGTAGACCATTTGCTTGGCACTTCCGGGTATTTCTCCACTGTTTGGGCCATGTTAACAATACCGTGTAACTGTCACGTTTGAAGGGACGAAACCGTGATATATTCACGTCTCCCAGCATGGTAGATCGTCACATGTTCACGTCTTGCCGTGATACCGGGTTGCCTTGGGCAGACACACACACCGTTAATATTGGGTATTTTATTGGAGAGAGCGCAGAGAAGCGTGTAAGACTGCGACTCCGCCTCCTGGTCTCAACTCCAGTTTGTCATGGATTAAGACCACAAAGCTCTGAAATGTTTGCCGAAATGAGATCTGCACCTTCCAGAGTAGAATGAAAGCAGTCTCTCTTAATCAGACCAGGTTTTCCCCAGAAGGCTGTCCAATTATTTACGAAGCCCACATCGTTTGCTGTGGACAGACAACCAGCGCTGAAATGATGACATGCGGCTATACATGTCGTCATTGATCAGATTGGGGAGGGGACCAGAGAAAATTACGGTGTCCGACATTGTTTTAGCATATCTACACACCGACGCCACATTAACTTTGGTGCATTCTGATTGGCGTAAACGAACATCATTACCACCGACGTGAATAACAATCCTACTGTATTTACGTTTATTCTTAGCCAGCAGTTTAAGATGCGCCTCAACGTCGCCCGCTCTGGCCCCCGGAATGCATGTGACTGTGGAGGCTTCGGTCTCTAAATTCACGTATCTCAGAATAGAGCTACCAATAACCAGAGTTGGCTTCTCATTGGGTGTCTCGCTTAGTGGGGAAAATCTGTTAGATACGTGAACGGGTTGGTGGGGACCTGCGGGTCTCGCGTTATGCCCCTTCTGAACAGTCACCCAGTCTCCCGGCTGCTCGGGAGTTGCCGGGGGACGGCTAGTAAGAGCTACCTCTTGTCCGTCTTCACCGACTAACATGGGCTTTACTGTACGGGCTTCTATGGCTATGATTCCCGCCTCCAACCTAGCAACTCTACTACATTTAACACATGTGTTCGGTACCAGTAAAGGAGGTAGGGAAGTAACCAAACATGAGACAGATAGAGCAGGAAATAGCACCCGAGGGTGGAGAAAGAGCCACGGCTAGCTATCAAGCTAAAGTAGCTACCGTTAGCAAACCCGAAAGGAGTGTAAGCAACTGTGGAGTTACAGTCGCTAAGAGAAGGAGAGTTGTGAGTGCTTAAGCTGTAGTAACGTGTGATTACAACGTCAGGTAGCTGCCGTGATCAAGAATTGTAAAACGATCGATTAAGTTAAGATAATATAAGCTATCAGCAGCAGAACAGACACACAGGATAGCCCGGAGGTGACAACAACAACCGGAAGTGACAACACGCTTACCGCAATAGTGAGCATTCAGTCTTGAGTCTTTCAAGAAATTAAAAGGCGGATAATTCCATTATGAATGAAAATATGTGATATTAGAGAGCGAGAGTTCCACTTTCACATCATGACACTTTGTTCTCTGCACTTATTGCTCCTGAAGAATTTTGGGAAAAGTTTTGCAATTTTTTTGACATAATAATAGTCTTTCGCTCATGATCTCCACCTCATGAATAACAATGACCGGGGCTTGTCTTCCCCAAAGTAATTTCCGCTGTCCGGTTAAATTAATTATTAGTCGTGCCATCAAACAATATGTCTCCACCTAGAAAGTAGGTGAGGCACAGTATGGGAAGTTAATGCAAATTAGGTGAATGCCTTCAAGGCTGTTTGAGGAGGAAATTACATTTTAATAAGACTGACGCACTTTTAGCCAGTGTTATCAGAAACAAAGAAGTGGAAGGAGGTCACCTGGTGTGACTGAACTAAATTCCATCACAATTACTGATAAAAACGAATTCCAATAATATTTAAAATACTAAACTGTTTTATTTTACACAAACATGTTTTTTCTCACAAGCTGATGTAGACCAGATATGATGCGTGTACTTGTTTACTCATGTATTGGAGTGTAGTTAAAAACATATTTTGTGCTGATATTCAATATATTAAAAGAAATGAAACATTTAAAAGCTTAATTAAAAACCAGACTAATTTATTTATTTCATGGTAATAGCTTAGAACAACAACTGTGTAATAGGCAGTATTTGTATCAGACTCAGGAAATACATTCAAAGTCTGTGGATCACCCTCTGTAAACCTGTGAAAAAAACCTGCCTAAGAAATTCAGGTTAGTCTATTTAAAAGGTGCATCGTTGTAGAAAGAATTCAACAACGTCTCAATAAACTGGTGCACAGTTTCACATTAAAGCCATTAATGGTGTTTAAGAGCTTAAGAAATAAGTTTTAATCCCGCCTACTATTCACACACCTGGCCAATCACCTTTCAAAGTGGGCGGGATAGAGTGACGCCAGAATGAGTCTTTAACCCACAAATGAGTTTGCTTTTTAGCCTTTCAGGGTTCCCTCGTCTCAAAGTCTAGGTTTTTCTTAATTAGTTTTTGGTAAAATTCCTGCTTAATACAAGCTTAGAAGATTTTCACGTTTTGTTCTACAACTTAAAATGTGTTTTTCTTTTACCGGTTTTAACTTACTTTACAAGTAACTGAAAATTGACTTACACTATACATCATCACTCTGAACATGCCACCTTATGGCGCGTTTCCACTACACGGCCTCGCTCGGCCCCGCTCGGTATGGCTGGGCCTCGTTAGGACTGGCTCACTTTATGGCGCATTTCCATTACAGTTTAGGAACTGGGGCAGTATCTATAGTAACGCAGTGTAGGCGGAGCCGTGACGTGATCTTCAGAGGACCCCAGAAAAACAACACAGCCGTTAGCTGTTAGCACTCAGAGCTCACAGCTCCTCATATATGTTCAGAAACTAGACAAAAGTTAAACAAGTACAAACCACAGACTGCCTGTGTCATGGTGAATACAGTCGCTGCTTTATTTATGTCTGTATAGGCCGTTGTTGTGAGTGTGGACGGTCGGAGCATATACTGCGTTAGCTTAGCCAATCTCCATTTAGAAAACAAGCATTTTAAAAGGTTTTTCCCCTGCCGTCTGTCTGCAGACTTGACAAAGCATTAATTCATGGTTTTTACTAACCGGTATCAGTATGTTGTTACTTCAGCATCATTTTGAAACGTGTATTACAATTAAATCACGGTCAAATATGTCCATCTTGTTGTAGTTGTTGCCCCCCTTGCCAGCGACGCTCTCTCTAGTTTAGCATACTCAGCCCGACTCAGCCTCGTTGTCTCTGGCCCTGGACCCACGATTTTATGAGGCCAGAAAAACTGTGAATTAGGACCCGCCGGCCAAGTGGAAACGCAACCAAAGACGGGCCGCTGACGTCACAGCCCTCTTAAACCGGGCTGCGGGCTGTAGTGGAAACGCGCCATTAGTAACATGATGTAAAGTCATGCGACCCTGATGTACTGTAGTTTGTGTAAAAATATACATTATCTACTTCAGGAGAGTGCATTTAAGCTAAAATGATTATAGAACTGTTGTTAATATTTAGAGATCATCCTGCCGAAAAAACGTTTAAGTATAATAAAAGTCTGTTCGCCACAGGGCTCTTAAAGCTCCCATGTCATGCTTTTCCGGTTATTACCCGTCCCCTTGTGTGTTAGTAGCTTTTTCTGCATGTAAACGGTCTGCAGAGTCACAAACCCTCAAAGTACACCCTGTAGCGAGTAAAACTCTAACACAGAAAATACCTGTCTATGCTGTCCCAGAACGCCTCGTTGGAGATTTTTATTTTTTCATTGTTTTCTTCTTATAGTGTAGTAAGTACAGTGACGTATTGGGTATAGTGACGTAACGTCTCCGCGGATTGGTCCAATGGTTCCTCCCACACACACACTCAATCTTTTCTCAGCCTGAGACGGCGAGACGCGGCGGGGCTCGGCCTGGGCTCGGCCTGGGCTCGTTCTGAGCACACATGCAGACTCACAGCCAGGTTGCAGGTGTGTGTGTGTGCTCGGGCTGGGTTCAGGCTGGGTTTCGCTGTGTCTCGCTGTCTCGCAGATCCCCCGCAGCAAGCCAGGTCACACTGTCCGCTCCAGCAGCGAGCCCCGCAACGTCCCGCTAACACGGCACCCAGACCCCACGCAGCATTCTCATCTGTTTGTCATTGCTGGTGTCATTTTCTGGTTGCTAACGCCATTGTAACACATAATCACTGATGTTCCGCTGTAACGGTGGTGGACTCATCAGAACAGAGTGGGCAAGCTGACCAATCAGAGCACACTGGGCTCATAGGGAGGGGGGGGGCAGTAGCTCCAACAAGACGTTTCGGACAGAGAGTGAATACACATACTGAGATGCTGTATGAGAAACCAATGTGAGTTTGGAAAATTGCACAATATAAATCTATGTTAGTATACCTCAACAATGGAATTATGATCAGTAGAAATGGCCATGACATGGGACCTTTAAAATCCAATAGAAATTAACTAAAAAAATCGAATTGCTTTTTGTCAAGGAAGCCCTTGCGATGCTTACTTCCGGGTCAGCCTGCAAAAACACGTCACCACTCTATTGATCAGAAAGGCGTTGCTAGCTGTCAAATTCATGTTGAATTTTAGTGTCTTGTACGTACGTAGGCATTGAGGCAGCTTCTGATTCCACTTGGGGCCTGAGGACCCTCGGTTGAAGCAGGTGAGGAGGCTGTTCCCAGACAGAGTGAAGCCCTTGTCGCAGATGTACTGGATGGTTGAAGCCACGGTGAAGTGGGAACCAGACAGCACCCGCCTGCTGTGCTCCACCTTCCCAGGGTCAGGGCAGGACACCACTAGAAGGACAGACCAGGAAAATAAACTTTCAAGCTACATTTTCTGTCATCTTTAGTCTCACCTAGACAGATAGATATCACTTTAAAACACCAAGAATTCACAGTTATGAAAGAGGTAAAGATATACAGTACCAATATATGAGCAAAGTTAACTATTATGACTTGTTTAGAAGTCTAAAAACACTCTTTTTCTTAGCATAGGTCAAAAACACATCCTGGGCAGCAGTGCTTCAAATTAATAGATGGGAAAATGTGCATTGCATTATGAAAATGATCTGGCTGGCTGCAGATAACATTTGGACATTATAAAAGAAGCCTTGCCAACTTTGCTTGCATTGGTGGTCAACAAAGAACGTTAAATGCCTCTTAATTTAGTCAAATAGTGAGAATCAGGGGTCAGTCCAGCTCTGTTTGTCTGAGCCCGGTAACAGGGGCCCACCGAGGCGAGATTAGTCAATTAGTTGTGTCGCCCCCGGCATGCCTGTTCTGGTTCCAGCAGCAGGGGCCAGAAACACAGCGTGGAAGACCGCCATGCTGGAGCCCAGTTCCTCTTCTGTGGCCAGTGAGGCAACCCCCCCGGAACCTGCCTCTGTGTGTGTTTGTGTGTGTGTGTGTGTGTGTGTGTGTGTGTGTGTGTGTGTGTGTGTGTGTGTGTGTGTGTGTGTGTGTGTGTGTGTGTGTGTGTGTGTGTGTGTGTGTGTGTGTGTGTGTGTGTGTGTGTGTGTGTGTGTGTGTGTGTGTGCGCATTTGTGTTAGAACTAGAGCTGTTAAAGTTAACGATAATAACGTGTTAACAATAATGTGTTTTAACGCCACTAGCCTTTAGCACTAGCAGGCTGTTATGAGGCAACCTAATTTAGCTTACCGCTAAAGTCAACGGAGTGCAGCAAGGTTCCAATTGCCTCGCTTTACGATTCCTTCAAGCCCTATTCAGTTAATGACTATTGGTTGAAGGAAAGTTGTTACATTATCGTAATGTGTTTTTGGCGGTAAACTTAAAAAAATCAAGTTGCTTGTAAAACATGCTTCCACACTCAGTTATGAGCTGTTAACTTTCATCACTAGCTCTAAACAGCTCAGAATATCCAAGTAATATAAATTGCAAATGCAAAGTTTTTATAAAATAAAATAATTTATTTTATTTGTTTTCAAATTTGGAAAGGGAATCGTAGAATTTCACTGGTGTATCAAATAAAAAAAATCTGGTATCGTTGCATTCCTCAAAGTAGTTCCTGGGAGGGTTTCTTGACAATTTATGTCATTGTCTATTGCTCTTAATTGATTTCCAATATGAATATACATATTTGAGTAAAGAAAGCATAGTTATCGACCTCAATTCTATGAGCACATGTAGACTGAGTGTTCCTATATCTGTGCTTTGTCTGAAATCCCTCCATGATACATACCTTAAGACTTTTAACACACATTAGAGAGTTTATTTATAGTAAGCAATAAGTTGAGCTTTTGAACTTTGATTGTAAAACTGTATTACCAATGGTTTTCCGTATCCATGCTGATAAACAAACACATTGATGGAGGTAATGGTAATTTGTTGCGTTTATCTAAAATGATCTACTTGTTTGTGCTAAAAGCAAAATGGACACTCTCTGCTACTCAACAATGTGTGTACCATCTTCCCGTCTCAAGTGGATAATTCAGTGGGGGCAGTTTATTTTCTTTCTTTTCTTTGTACTGACCTCTCTCACAGCTGGGTAGGTCGCCGCTCCAGGTGAGGTCCCATTGGCACATGAGCAGCTCGGCGCCAACCACCTGATAACCAGGGTAACACTGGTAGGTCACCACGGTGCCCTGAACCAGCTCAGGGTGAGATGTACTCTTCCAGCCATTAGAAATCTCTGGCAACTCAGGGCAGGTGTCGTTCCGAGCTACTTCTGCAGGTGTGTGGAGGAGGTTCGGAGGGAAACAGCAAGAAAGGACATTAGGAAACGAATACAAGGAAATAATAACAGTCAATTAGTGTCTTTTTGACAATCACTTTGAGCTAATCGTGAAATCTTAGCAGGCTAGTTTGTTAGGACATGTGCGGTCTCTTGAGGAGGAGCATCATAACCCTAACCCTGATATTTTGGTCTTTGTCTTTTTTAGGATCACAACTAGCACTAGCTGATTAGCACCCTTCTGGATAGAGAGCATAAAAGCTAAGATATGGTTTTGATTAGAGTTTGAAGGGATGCCTTTATGGGGTGTTACCCTTCCAGCTTTTTGAATGTGCTTTCCTGGAGGGTAACTGTTACCTGATTGGCCTGTTCGATATTCTTTGACACCTGCCAATGTTGCAGTCTTGTGTTTGCATTCCACTAATGAGATTCATGAAGAAACTATAATAAAAGCTTCCCCTCCCTTTATTCCTCTTTGTAGATCATCAGTATTCTGCAGCCTTTCCTTGCCTCTGAATGTATTAACTCTTATCAGATATAGTGCGCTGGCCACGGCGTGGTGCTGATGGAAAGGCCCCGCCAACACAAGGGACAGCCTCTTATTGCTTCCATTTGTAGGTCCTATACCTGCAAAAACAAATTCCCTGTTCCTTTCTTTCATTTTGCCCAACTTTCCTTTTTACAACCTTACTCTCCAATGTGCTGCTGAGTTTTCATTTCCATCCATCTATTGGTATTGAATCCCTTTGTAGCTGAACCATTGTAGAATTCACTGATACATTGATGATACATTAGAACAACATTGGACATTAAGATTACATATTAAATAATAGTTAGCTAGCTGTTTGAACCTGCTTCCAGTCTTTACTCTGAGCAAGGCTAACCACCAAAATATAAGTATATGGCAAAAGATTTTGAGCTAATGCTCTAATAATCACTAGTCAACATTTAGTGTGGTCTATGCTTTTTTCCCCATCATCCTTTATTACACAAATACATAAAAAGGATTAGTCTAAAGACAGATGGTGGGTAAAAAGAATGTCATTGTTATGATTTAGAAATACCTAGATTACATAATGTGACTTTATTTTAAGTTACACATTGTTATTATGCTTTTTGGGGTTTCCCCTTTCCTATAGAGCGTGTTTTTTGTGCATGTTAATGGTCTGCAAAGGCCAAAATCACAAAGTTCCCTCCAGAAGATTATGTTTTCTTCGGTAACATGGTGACATCATTATACAACAATTGGGCCAATATTGGCTAGCGCTCCAACGTAATGTATGTGATTGGCTAAGGGGCGGGACATCTCAAAGCGGTGGACCAATCACAACAGAGTTGGCCAGATAACCAATCAGAGCAGATGGGCTCTGGTTTCAGACAGAGGGTGAAAAGAGGTGTGAGCAGTATGAGAAAAATAAATAACTTTTTGAACATTAAAGCATGGAGACATGTCACATTAAAGGCACTAAATACAAATATGAACCTGAATATTTGAAAAAGATGTCCTCCTTCACATTAATATTCATGAGACCAGCGATAACTCGCTGAGAGTCCCCACAATCTCTGATGCTGTATATTCCATAAATGTGTGCTGTGTGTATTTCCAGAGGAAAGGATTAGGATTTGTCATCTTGCATTAACAAGCTTAAAAAATGTATTTATTATCTGAATATTGTGGGAAGAGTTTCATATTCTTAAAGCCAAGACTTTGTTTGTTTAAAACCCATTATGACCAATGCCATGAGTTCTTCCACCTAATCCATGTTTTTTTTTGTAAATGTGCCGTTGCAACATTTGACTGATTTTGATAGAGCCGGTCGCATATGAACAAAACAGTAAATGGCTCTCTAATGAATCATCTCTAAGAAGTTGAGAATTCTCTGAGCGCTGGTTCTATGACTTACCAAAGAAGTGGACTACAAAGCCGTTGCCATAGCCGTACACGTTGGTTGCCGGGTCGGACTGGAACTGGATGGTGAGGTCTGCGGTAGAGGTGTAGAGCTTAAATCTGGGTTTCGATCCTCCATACTGACCCAGAATTTTAGCTGTTAGGTCATCTCCATCATAAAAGGTCACCAGGTCATTCTTCCCAATGTTCAACCTGCAACAGGAATATCACAGAATCACCAATTTACCAAGTTTAGTTTCTAACCTGAACTGTTTTAGTGATATTTAGCTGTTTTCATCTACATGTTTAGATCATAAAAATAGGTGGTTGTAAACGCACTTCACTCCTCGTTTGCCTCACCTTTAAACTTTCTCTTGCATCGATTTGTTTAAACATGTTTTACTTGTGGCAGTAATTAAGCACAATGACAAAGAATTGGCTAAAAGATGATAACTTAATAAACTCAAAAAGGAAGGATCTGGTAAATTACGTATATGGAAAGAATAACCATGAGATTTAGAAATCGAGTTCATATCTTTGACAATAGATGAGAAATAAATGTGAGATAAACAACACAAAACATTACAAATGGCAATTGTGATAGTTAATGTACTTATTAGAATAAATGATCATTCTGTTATCAGTTAATTAAATCATTTTTTAGTCATTTAACTAACAATTTAACATGAACTAATGTTGTTACTGTATGCATGCTGTGTAACAATATCGTTTTTAAAATGCAAAAAAAAAACAAAAAAAAAGATTTTGCATTGAATGACGCAGCCTTAACCCACAGGTCAAACAGCACCTCTACACACCCTTCACACACATACATGCCACTTTGCTCCGTGAGCGAACAGAACGTTATGTTAATGGTAAACCTCACAATGGGTTCTTGCATTTTTTAAATGCAAGACAACTCCAGGTCAATCCAAGGTTTCTTATTGCATTATTCACGAGGAGCAGCGTGATTCCTGTTTGCTCCCGAGGAAACCATTTCTGGAGTAATGTGACTATCCACAAGGTGAGATCTTGTTGATTGCATCATTCATATTTAAAGACATTTGGTAGTTCTTCAGCCAGGCTATTATTCTTATTGTCCACAATGACAGTGCTCATAATGACATGTTGCTCATCACCTTTGGGCGATTGCCACCAAAATATTTTCAATAACACATATGTGTGATTTAAGGACAGCTGTATAAAGGGAAGTGATTTACTTTTTGTATTGTTGGGTGACTTATGAGAGAATTATATAAATAAAACTAAATTTTCTGCAGTTTATAACACAGACCTTGTATTAATGTGTAATCTCTAGTCATGGAATCTAATGCAGTACATTTACTTAAATAGTGTGCATAAAAAAGACATTTGTAAGGTGAATACTTCAACTCCCCAACAAGATAGAAATCAAGTATAATGCGTTTTACTCTATTGCATACATTTTACAGTGACTGAGCTAGTTACTACTTTGCTAGTCTGGGTCCCATTGTGTGTGTAAGCATCACATTGACCAATTATAACTTGAGCTACACAGCTCTGCTCGTTATTCAATATGCCAATAATATAATTCACCACCTTCTTTGTCACGATAATTCACAATCGTGGAATGCAGTATGACCCAAACTAGTGAAGATACAGCTGGAGAGGTCAGGCAAAAACACAAGGGCAGGAGGGTGTTAACACACAGGTGGATAGTATGAGGGCGGGGCATACAATCATAGAGGAAAACAATCGTAAAACTAGGAAAACACAAAGACAAAAAGTGAAACCAGACAGGACAAAATAATGGAATACTTTTTAGGTTTATTAGGTGTTCTGGAGCTGACTTTTTCCTTCATTAAAAGCTTCAGGTATTGTAGAAAACCCCAAAAGTTGATGTTAGTCATGTCCGTCCCCATCACAAACTGTAGAGTATTAAAAAGTTGGACAAAGGACATTATGGGTTCATAATTATGTTGCCAAAATTATTAATTTTCCTTTAATAGTTACAGAATATTCTAAAACACCTGCTATGTTCTTCCCTGACTGATTGGGACTGACAGCAATTGTAATGTCAAAAAAGATGAGCACAGACATTTCCATCTGTGGGATGAATGAATCAACATCATGCTGAATAACCACAATTGCTGTCAGTTAAACATGTCAAAGGGCCATGTATAAGTGTTGATTTGACCATAGCCTTTAAAGCTGGAACTCTTACAAACCTCAAAGCTGTTCTGAAATGTCACCTGGGGCTGAGCTATCTCTTTGTAGAGAGAAGATTTAGAGCATTGAAGAAATGGCTTAGCAAGAATAAAGCAGTGACATGCTCTTTGCTGTCGCTAATTAATCACCAGCGGCTCCTGATAAAACTCATTAGCCAGCCTGAGATTGAGCTATTAATCACTAAGGGAATGCCGGAAAATCAAAGGTTCAAGAGGCGTGGATTGAATCGAATTCTTTTTTTACCCAACACTGGAATATGACAGCAATATGAGGTTGTGAAAATATGCGAACTGCAGTGGGGAGTGTTTGTCTTTCCATAGGCAGATTGTTTTTTCTTTTTGTCACACACAATTTTTACTGACGTGTATTACGTGCCTTAGGAGTACAAGCAAATAATAACACTATTCATAAAGCTCCTTTAAAAACAGGGTTTCAAAGTGATTCACAAATACAAAATACGCAACAACACACTACACCCCTTTTCCATGAGAGAAAACAGGTCCAACAAATACAAAATCTTGTACAACAAATTATTGTATTTAAAGTAGTAACATTTGTTTTTGCGTATTGATTACAAATAAATCAGCTAGGTTGCATACACGACAATTGTTCCAAAGTGTGTGGGCCCTGGCAGCAAAAGCAAAGTTCCCTTCAGTTTAAAGACTTAGTTCTGATTAGTTGCATAATGGTAGAGAGATTGCATACATAAAGATAGGTGCAAAAAAGTTCACAGTTTTATGGTAGGGCTAGCCCATGTGGTGCCTTGAAAGTAATGAGTAAACCATTCTAATCAATCCTGAAGTGAAAGCCAATGTTTTGTTTAACCTGAAGGTGTAAGCAGGCTTTGTTCTTTGTGCACTACTGTAATACATTTTTGAGAAAATAATGCATCAATAACTTTCTCCAAGAGAAAGAAAATGATGGAAATGATCTGTGAATGTTATTTTGTACCCGTCCTAATTGAGTTGGATTGAATTATCTGACATCCACAACTTGATATCCCTTAGACAGGTTTTTTCAAAAAGTCAGTCTGTTGGGGGATGCTCGTTTCACTGACACATACATTGTGTGTCGTCGGCATAGCAGAAGAAGGGGATCTTTTGATTGTGTTTTAATCTGCAAAGTTAAAGGACATAAATGGAGAATAGAAAAGGCCCTAAAACAGATCTCTGAGGTACACCATCGTTCCGTCTCATAGGCAGACTGAAGTTAACAAGAGTGACTGTAAACTCTCTGTCTAAAAAATTGGAGATAAACCGCTCGAGACTGGTGTCAGCTGTTCCTACGATTTCTTTTAGAGAGCACATTTAAGTATCATGGTCCGCTGTGTCAAAAACAGAACTTAAGTCCAGTAAGATCAGGGCAGAACCTTTACCAGCATCGACAGCATTACACTATCACTACTGGGAACTTAATCTGCAAGACATCATTATTTTCATCTTCCTATAACTTTCATTTACAACTCTGAACGAAAAGTCGTTCCACCTTAACATCCTTAACATAATGACTCATTAAATCCTACTTTTCAACTCAGGGGAGGTAAAACCTGAAAAATGGGCCTATCTAGAAAAATGTTTTGTCCCTTTGAATGCCTACAGCTAGTCCTAGCAAGCATATTACAATGATTGTGCAGTCTTTTAAACTTATTGTGTTCTATGTTTATTTGATTGCTAACGGATAAAGCCTCTCACCTGCTCAGAGAGCGAGGCGGATTGAGAAATACTGCCGGCTGGCGTCAAATTTGTTGTGATTAAGCTAAACAAGACTTTGTGCGGCTCTGCAGTGCATCTGTAGAAGAAAATCAATCACAGCCTCCATTCCCTGACACTAATTTAATTTAGTTCAATTTGAAAAAAAACAGGGCTGAGTTTGGCCTGGCCCCCGGGACCAGCTGCCAACACATTTTACTCCAACTATTCATTTCATCATTTGCTATATCCAGGAGAATGGCTGGAACTATTTTTGGCTGGTTTTACACAACCTAATGGTTCACCCTATACACTGGTAAAATCATGTACATAAAAAAAAAAAAAAAAGTTTTAAAACAAACAAACATTTAAATGGAATCAACATTTTTCAAACCACTACAGCCATACATTACGTTGTCCAGAATGAAGACAATTGGAATAATGCAAATAGGTGCTTTGTCATTGATATAATCAAGCCTAACCTTAACTTTGGCGACAGATATTTTATTTCTTTATTGTTGATGCAAACCTCGAGGGTATTGCATTATTTGCAATATAATAAACAAAATGTCATTGGCAACATATTTGCATTCACAGTTCTTTGCTCTGTGTTTTTCCTAAAAGATAGGATACTGATGTGTAGTATCAATTAAAATAAAGGCCTAGAGCACCCACATAAATGTGGCGTCATGGTAGCATTATATGAGTTTAAACTTCCTATTATGTGGTAATCATCCATTTTGTTGCGGGTCTAATAAACCTGCACTATTTGAACAGACTAACAATAATCATATTAAATAAGTATAGATTTTTTGTCAGAAAATTCAAAAAGAAACAATACAAGATTGTATAGCACCTTTCCCTATATTTGACAAATATTTGATACATACTGTATGTCTTTTTTTAAATATCTGAACCTTCAGTCTTTCAGAGTTCTATTTCCAGCGTCAGTCATGGCAAAATCTGTCCGAGCTGAATAGTCTATGACAGCTATAGTTTTCCCGGACAAAAAATATACCCTGTCATACAAAAGAAGACACATTCAAATGTTGTGTGTTTGCAATTATTAACATAGATAAACGGAACCCAGCATACATAACTATCACACTGGCTATGCTGTTTCACTTATACAACATACGACTAGAATCCTGAGAATCGAGGACATCACTATAACAGATGAGGCAAATTGGGTAAAACAAAAGATATTAATAATTTAAGGGGCCCTATTATGCTCAATTTCAGGTTTCATAATTGCATTTTGTGCCTCTACTTGACCTCTCTCTGTAATAGATTGTTTTAATAGAAGAAAGTAAATTCATGTTTTCTTGTGATAAAATATGTAATGTGGTTAAAAAGATCATATATTACATGAGACACACAAAGATTGTATGGTATATAAATACTAAACTGTGAAGATAACTAATATTTACGTTTTGACATGTTCAATATAAAATGTTGATCTTTGATCCACTTAAATGTCTGATCTAGGATCCTGAGATCCATTGCTTTTGTTTGTCTCCACCAACACATTTGGGGTTCGCGGGTAATTCCCTCACTTGAGTAAATGTACGCGATGAAACACCATTTTCACTCTTGTGATCATTTCTCCCCATCTGAAAGGAAAGGGGCGTAACATCTCCATGCTTTAATGTTCAAAAAGCTCTTTATTTTTCTCATACTGCCTGTGCTGCAGCACCTCTCTGCACCCTCTGTCTGAAACCAGAGCCCAGTCTGCTCTGATTGGTTAGTTTGCCGGCTCTGTTGTGATTGGTCAACCCTTTAGAGATGTCCCACCTATCACATACAATTTGTTGGAGCGCTAGCCAATAGAAGCGCAAGTGTTACATAGTGATGTTACTATGTCGCAGATGTAAACAATGGAGTCCAATGGGGGTGTTTCAGGCAGGGGGGGGGGGGGGAGTGTGTTTGAGAAAAACGCTCTCTGGAGGGCACTTGGGATTTTAGCCTTTGCAGAACATTTACATGCACAAAAACCTATATAACACAGGAAAGGGAAAACCCCCCAAAGCATAATAAAGCCTCTTTAAATGAGTCCCTCAAGGCACACTTAACCAAACTGACATCACCATACAATGTAACAGTGCATCCTTTTTAAAATGCAGGCTAGTTAGCATAGTAACAGTAGCTGTTATTTTAAAGGCAATGTTATTCCATCCAGAAGCAGCGGACAGTAGGCTGTAGTGTGTGGGATAGAGGGTGGTTTCATTACTTTGACTTCCCATCCTTTAACTTTAATCACACATTTCACTCCATCCTCTTTCATTTGAAGGCCATCTATAAAAGTCATTTGATACACCCTAGTGATAATGTCCCGACTGCCATTACACAGATGGAGGAGGAGATATGTGCTTGCACAGATGTCTGTGGAATGTGAGGAACCAATATCCAGGGATCTGTTAAAGGCCTCATATATCTCTGTACATTGTCTAACCCAACGGCTCTGGGAGAACAGCTGCTATTGATGAGCTTCACCTAAATGCTTAGACACCTGCTAGGCATATGCGGAAACAGTAAGAAGTGCTAAATTAGAACGCTTCTCTCTGCAGAAATCTAGGTTTTGGTATTTTCCCACGAGTGCTCTCTTGGAAACAGAGACAGTGAAACCTTACTAACAATCAATAAAGGCTGCAATGACTTAAAGCCGGAAATGAGTTGGCATTTTATCAAAGCTCCCTTGTCTCATAGTCAACGTTTTTTGAACGTGTTTTGGTTGGACGCCCAAAAAAACAGTGGTTAACATAACTTTAAGAACAATTTTTACGTTCTGTTCTACGACATGAATAAGTCACCAAGTGGCATTTCCATGCTAATTTATGAACAAACATTCCGTGAAGGTCTAAAGCTTCATGCCAAACATTAGCCGCCTGCAGTTTAGCCGTGGTTATGCCCAGCCGTGTGACCTTGATGTATCTCATTTATAGAAAGACGTTGTAGAAAAATTGTAAAAGTGGTGATTGAAATGATCCTGCTGAACAAAACGAGTAACTATCATAAACGTGTATATGCCACAGATCCAATGAGAAAATCCCATTGGCTTTTAGTCGAAGGAGCCCTTGTGAAGGTAATTTCCTGGTGAGCCTACAAAGATATGTCATCACTGACCACTACATGAACAAATTAACACCAGACTGGAAAGGGAAGCAGTCAAACTATTTTCACATAATCAATTCTAGCTTCTGACATTGATCTTTAGCCCTCTCACCACAAAGAACATTGATATTGGACAATTCTGTAGAACCCTGAATGACGTTTAATGACCACAACTTCAAATTCATAAACAAATGCTGTAAGGCTTTATTCACCACTTAACCCTAACTTTCCAGTAATGTATTACTCGTTCCAAGTCTAGATACATACAGGAAACATGGGGAGAAAAAGGGAATACGAAATGCAGAAAAGGCCAGCAGAAGGACGTGAACCTGGCACGTTGACGTTTTTTTGGTACGCACATAATCAGTAGGCCACCAGATGATTTTTCAGCAGCTGAAAAGCATCTCTGAGGTGTAAAGCAACCCTAACAGCAACAACATACCAGATGCAGGCTTACAAATCTACCAAAAATGTGGAGGTAAAGTAAGAAAAGGTAACAAAAAGACACAGGTAGTAGGGTGACAACACTTCTCGTCTTTTCAGGCTAAATGTTTTCACACAATACCTTCACTTCTACTAAATTCACCTGCTCTGCTAAGTGAAGCAGCAATTACTTATGTTGACAGATTTTCTTTCAAAAACCAGAGGAAGCCATTAATCAATGCCTCTAAAGGTACAACAAGAGCACAGGTGCTATTCAGAGAGAGCGGGGGAGGGAGAAAACAGGGCTTAAGATGCAACCAATGCAAATGAGCCCCCTCTTAATTTGCTTGCAAATGGCAAATGATTTTCTATGGCTGACTGACTTATCGGGCTCTGACACGGCGGGGTGTGTTGTTCTGTGTCTTCACCTTGGCACCGCAATCACGGGAAACACACACTCCATTGCTGTACACTTGCACCCTCTACTCGGCACGGCAGCCATTACAGCAGGGGGGGGGGGGGGGGGGGTATGTTGGTGGTGGGGGGACTGCCAAACAAACCCTCCCTGATATAATTAGTTTTCTCCGTTGCACCTAATTAACCTTTGTCTGTGTGGCACACACGCATCTCATTCACAAGCCGAGCGCTTTCATTAGCAGCGTGTTGTGTTTTTAATGCGTTTTACCAGTCATGGTGAGGTAGCTCTTTGTAATCTTCAAACTGCTTCTGTGGCGCAGTTTGAAGCGGTGTACGTATAAGCACAGGAGATGAAGTGGGATTTGTTATGATTAGATTCCAAAGGGTCAAGAAAAAAGGGTTTGTGGAGATGTCGTTTCACGCACATCGAAGGGCTGAGTGTGAGAGGGCGGATCAAACGTTACGTACACTTGAATGTCCACCATGATCCTCTTGTCCTCCTCCACGTGGATTCCCCAGATACAGTCCTGGCCTTTATCGTAGGCTTCGGGCCAGTTCGGAGACAGCACCACTCCTGCTGAGTCTGTGATCTCGCCGCTACACACAGCTGGAACACACACACACACACACCACACACACACACACACACACACACACACACACACACACACACACACACACACACACACACCCACACACACACACACACACACACACACACACACACCACACACACACACACACACACACACACACACACACACACACACACACACACACACACACACACACACACACACACACCAGGGATATTTAATAGAGCTGGTTGTCAAAAGTGTGGATACAAATCCTATGCTTAAAAAAAGAAAGATCCAATACAGTACCTAAAAGCCAGTAATAACATATCTTTCTTTGACTGATAAAAACTGCAGCATAAGTTACTCATAGGTCCCGTCTGATTGAAAATCAAAATGATGAATGCTTGTGTGTTTACAGGCCCATTGTAACACCCATTATAGGAAAAGCTGGACCTAAACTGTAATAACAGTGCCAAAATTCGTACTGCTGAAATGTCAGTGAGCAAGTGACTAATCCACTGTCTACTCATTCTAAGGTAATCCTGTTCAGGTATTTAATTTACCAAATGAAATTAAAACATATCGCATTGAGCGTTGATGGGAACCTTTAATCCAGGAATAGATATACAGACCTCTGCAGGCAGGCTCGGTCTCGTTCCACTGGGGGTTGTTGGGGTCCATGCATTCGATGGTGACGGACCCCTGTTCCAGAGTATAGCCAGGGTCACAGGCAAACTCAACCACAGCTCCTACTGCCCAACTGTTGTCGCTGCTGGTCAGGTTACCGTACTTAACGAAGGGTTCGTAGCAGTGGCCCGCTGCAAAGGCTGTACAGTGAAAAATGAACAAAGACGAGGAAAGAACTGATGTTTTATCAGAAAGAACGTCAGAAGTTACGCATCCCTATAAGATACATGGCCAAAGAAGAGACCATTGCCATCAACACCATTTATTAAAATTACATTTTTGTCATGTCATTTTGTCGTTGGATTTTATCGTTATACATTTTCACTGAAATCATCTTGCATTTGGGAACATTTTGACAATTATCGGATATGTGTCAAAGCCCAGAACAAATGTTATGCAATAACAAGTATGTCGAGATGTGTTTTTCTAAATGTATAGCTATGAACATATTGTGTACATATCATTTTCCAATACAATCTTGTAGTTGCTAAAGTTAACATATTTGGATAAGAGTGGTTAAAGTGTATGCAAAGAACTGTGTGTATAACACCATATGTGACCCGCTCTATCGAAATCAGTCAGAAGTCGCAACGGCTCATTTCAAAATAAACGTGGATTTGCGTAAAAAAATAGTTTTTCGGGGTTCGGGTGTTTTGTTTGATTTTAAATAAACAAAGTCTTGGCTTTCAGAATATGAAACTTTTATTTCCAAAATCACACGATAAATACATTTTTGAAGCTTGTAAAGGGAAGATGACAGCTCTCACTCGCCACTCTGCTGTTCCGCAGCGCCGTTCCCCCTCCCTCCGGCTGAAATTATGAATGTAAGGCGTATAGGAAGTGAGGGATAATGTGCAGCGACGCGGTCATTATGGGGAAAAGAACACCGACAGGCTGATCAGGAGCCCGACGCGAAGCGGAGGGATCTAGATCGGCATGAAGGTGTTCTTTTCCCCATAATGACCGCGTCGCTGCACATTATCCCGCTTATTACATGGCTACATTCTCAACAAAGTAACGATATGACTCCCAATATTAATTGAAATGCTTTTATGGATTTAGAAAATGATTTTATTGATTTAAAAAATAGTTGTATGTATTGATTTAAATTGACATGCATCCGCTAACAAAAATAGTCCGTTGTTACCGTTTGAAGTAACGTAGCAACGGCAGGATCTGCTTCGATAGCGTTTTTGAGGAGCTTTTTGATTACAGATTTGAAAACATCGTTGCTTGCTTTAAAAGTAGCACAATTCATGATGTCAAACCTTGGAAAGTATCTAGATATCCCTGCCCTAATGCCAAAGTAACTGGCAACTGAATATGTGTCGCCGTTTGATGTCTATGTCTGGACCGCTGCGTAAAAAGGAGGGTTTCTGCCCCGTTACTTCTCCGCTGTTTTCTTGTCGCTCTTGTCTTGTTAGTTAGAAAAGCAAACTGCATGCAGTTTGCTTTTCGGCCAAACTGTATACAGTTAAATCGAACGGAGTTGTTTGTGCAGATGTGAGCGTCCTTAACAACGGTCAATAAGTCCTTGACAGCGGTCTGTCTGTTCTGGATTAACAACGTGTCACGTGTTCTGAATTGACCAATCAGAATCGAGTATTCAACTAAGCCATGTAATAATCATAGATAACACGGTAGGGTCCGTTACAGTTTGTTTTCATCTGATTTCAATTAAACAAAGTCTTGGCTTTCAGAATATTAAACTTGTTTCGGCAAATTCAGATGATAAATACAACTTTGAAGCTTGTAACGGCATTATTACAAGCGGAGAACGGAGTAACTTGACGTCACAGCAGGCATAACAACAGCCGGTGTTTCTCGAGACTGTTTTCCCAGGGAAACAAACACAATAGGCACAAACGCAAAATTACACAAACACACACACACGTATACACACACACACGCAAGCTTCCCCCAGACCAGTAATCCAAACGAAAATATCTTCCCTCCGTAGTATTTTGATCATTTGCTTTGCTAATAATCAATCCGATCGATGGATTCCAGAGAATAGGAAACTTTAAAGGCCTTTTTCTCAAAATGATGACTCTGTGACAGTCATTATATAATGTGACCTATTTTGCTTAATATTTGGAGTACAAAAACAATCCTGATATCATTAGAAAGCTAGGAATCTCCTCTGTCCAACAGTGTATACAGTACAACTCAAAATGTGTCTTCGGGTCAATGCGACTGATTTCGATGGAGCAGGTCACTTAAGTTTGAAAAGCTAATATAAAGAGCTTTTATCAGACAGATTCCTAATACCTGTAAAACTTGTGTAAAAGGATTATCGCTCTAGGGTTGGTGATGTCATTCGGTCCAACATTTTGGTCAAGAATGCAAAACACAAAATGTGGTTCTGGCATTCATGGCTGCCAGAGGTTGAATTGTAGGTGAATGTTTACACTATCCACACTATACACTATCTTACTATCTAATTTAGTGGGAATGCTGATACAGCATTCCAACTACTACGCACAAATTCTTTATACTTATTTTTATTCCGTCAGGTTTTTTTGTCCCTCTTCTGCTCCCACATTCCACATCGCAGAAACTCTGTTGAAACACCAAAAAGTTCAGCTCGATCGGGAATCGATTGCTATTACTTTTCTCATTCATAACTTTCATATTTCCCGAGATATATCCCATAATCCATCACATTTTTTACATGGAAGTCAATGGAGAAACTCTTCAGACTTGAAAAATCTTCATGCGACTTCAACTGCTAACTGTTCCTTCGCTCAGAAACCTCATTCCAAATTGGAATGTTACACATCTTTCTGACATTATTCGTGTTACACAACTTTTAATCAGATTCATACTTTTAGAAATATTAAACATTGTTCAGACATTGGTAAAGAGGCCTTCTTCAGATTTTAAGCTTGAAATTCGCCTTCATCTTTTTTTTTTAAACCTGCCATAATTCCCAAACCCTACACTCCTGAGACATAATTGTTCATGAAAAACGTAGTAAAACCTCTCCTAGGTTGGAAAATAAAATAAAATTAACCTGTTAAACCCCATCCCTGTTTTTCAGGTCTCAGGCTCGAAAATGACATTTCCAGAACAAATGACCATAACTACACTTCTAAAAGGGGAAAATTAATAATCTTTATTCTCAAAGTAATGATAAAACTGTGAGTTGGATGTAGAAAAGTCAGAATCAATATAGATGTTTTTTATTTTAAAGAAAATTCAGATTGAACATAGTAAAAAACTGTAAATTATAGTGTCCGTCCAAAGATTCTTTTTTACTTATAGTGAAAACCAACCTTGAATGATGGGATGGTAGACTAAAAGCTTTAGGAATCCAAAGTACAACATATAAGTACCCTGTATCAAGAATGATGCAAAACAAGTGACATTTGACCTTTTTAGAGAGGTTTAGCAAAAACAACTCCACCTCTGGGGTGATTTGGGTGGAAATGGGCGTTTTTGTCGTTTCTCTGGAACCCATTGGTCGATTTTGGTGATTGACATCTCTTTTTAACCGTTAGAGCCAATAGAATCGAAGGGGAATTTCCACATACACACCAACGTTACCAAAGAAAAGTGGGGGCTTCGCGCGTGCAGTTGGCCGTAAACCGAAACCTATTTTACGCTCTGAAATCTGAAAATGGAAAAGTAGGTTTATTGCTTATGGATTATCAAAAATCATTTCAAAGTGACACAGACACATTGGATTAACCTATGGATTAACCTTCAGCAGCGTTTTTATCGTTTTGATGCCATTGAAGACAACTTTTGATCAGACAACGACAAAGGTAAGCCGTATTGCCGTGTTTGCTACCTAGCGCCACATGTTGTGATGTCTGTTTTTGTTAATAAGTTTGCGAGTTCTTATCATGGAGTGATGCTGTCTTCTCACGATGCTAATCGAGGGGTTGGATGTGCAGTTACGATAAGTAATAAGGGTGTTATGAGTGAGTTTCTGTGAAAACGCCGTTAGCATTTTTTCGCTCGTGGCTAATTCAGAGGGTCAGCGTTAGCTTTGTGGGTTTTTTTGCAAAAAAAAAAAAAAAAAGATCAGTTAGCTGAGTTTCTTCCCGATACATGGATATGAAACATTCATAGTTTATTAAATATTAAGAAGCCCTCAGACGCTGTTTCCTGCAGATTATGCGTTTTTCCGCCCGGGGGCGGGTCGATGGGGTTCAACAGGTTAAGCAAAAAATAATTAAACAAAATGCCTCTTGAGGGCATGAAGTGACAAAAACTTTCAACATGTCTCCATTAAGGCCCATTGTAAATTCAGCCTGATCTTTCCTCACAGCAGCAGCCGCACACCTTTAGTTAATCTGCCAAAAAGGCCACATTATTGACCCGAAAGTACACAAAAGCAGACTGAGACGCTCGTCAGGGTCCTGAGATGCTTCACACATTAAAATTTCACCGATATCTGCTACGGTTCTTCAACAAAACGTTCACATGTAAGAGGTTTATCTCTCATTCAGAACAATGGAAAGGCTCTCCTCTCACTGATTACTGCACATCACCATGGTAACCTTTGATCTCTGGACACACACAAAGGTGTTTGATAACGTCGTCACCTCAAACACAAACACCTGTGTGATGATGTCATAACTCCAACTGACATGCTCAGAACGCCACCAAACATCACATGATGGTTAAAACTGTGGCCCTGAACAGCTCTACGTGAAATCTGATGTTACATAATGTGGTGTTACCATGGCAATGCATCCCTTGCCATAAAACACGATGTCGCTGTAACTCCAATGGACACGGTCCGATCGTCCCCTAATCTTCACCTGTATATCACCGGTCCATGGCTCAACAGCTCTACGCCAAATCTGAGATCTCACCATATGCCGTTTCCCTCGCCAAAAAACACGATGTTGTCGTAACTCCTATGCAAATGGTCAAAACAGCACCAGACTTCAGATAATGGTTAATGGTCCAGCCTTCAACATGTCTATGTGCCATTAGTGAGTTTTCCTCAAAAACTGTTAACACGATATTGCTATAACTCCTATGAAAATGGTCAAAAAGTGCTCAAACTTCACATGTGTGCTAACAGTCCAGCCGTCTACGTGACAGTTTTGAGATTTCTTCAACATAACGCTCGCTATGAAACACGGTTTTCTCATAACTTCAGTGAAAATGCTCCAAACGG